TGCAGCAGTGTATTTCCGTTCGCGTCGGCGGCATCACGTTGAGCTCCGAGAGAGAGAAGCGCTACAGTGGCTGTCCAGTTTCCGTCCGCTACAGCGCACATCAGTGGAGTGTATCCGCTCTCTGATGCATTGTTCAGCTGAAACCAAAGCACAGAAAATTAAAAACAAGGACAATCAGACCCATTTTTCCCTGAAAGCAGAGAGAGAAGCAACTTCCACCACGACTGTGAACTACTACAGGACACTTGACTCCCCATAGGACGAGTAAAACCTATCAGATGGTAAATTCTCAACAGTAGTTCGAGCACCTGTTCGAAGTGATTCTGTGCAGCAAATGCGAAACTGAGCTGCTCCACTATCGCTTTTGTTCCAGTTGACAACAGTCGTGATCAGCTGAGCGCCTTCAACTGATGGACAGTTTCCATGACGAAGTCGCGAAGCACATGACTGGATGGTGGGATCAGTGTTTTCACGAAGGACACGGGACACCGATCCGAAATCGTTCTCTGAACATGAAGCAAAATTATTGCGAAACTTGAAAAGATGGTATAGATGCATTGACAAGGGCATCACATTCTAGATAAAGCGAAGTTTTCCGGCTTGAAAGGTCGACTATGACATCAGGTGTGGAACCCCTTCACAAGACTACTATTAAATTATGTGGTTTCTACGATTAAATTATGTGGTTCCCATCAGTGAGCACACTCTAGCGATCAACAAAGATGCACATAAGCACTTTTCGCAAATTGAAATCGTACAACGCGGACGTTATTTTTGTCACTTAAAGGCAGCGATTACGACAAAGAGAGCGCATCGGGGAAGCATATGCGCCACACGAAGCAGTTACTTGGCTGCCAAGGAAGCGAGATGTAGCGCTTCACGACGAAAGGTGCGCTGGTTGCTGAGCAGTACTTCGAAAGCGCTCCGCCCCAAAAGCGATCCGCCCACTAGTTTAGTTGGTGATTTGGACGAGCTGTGTTGCCAGCAGCGGCACAACTGGAGCAACTCGACTGGAGCATGGTTTGGCATGGTGCCACCAAACGCGTTGCGGTAAACTCGTCCATACGTCCGCCGTCTTAGCCGCTGCCCATTGTCCTTGAGTAAAAATCAACGGCCAAACAATCCCGTTTTCGGTTCTCTTGGCGGACTTCCCCTTTTATCCGTTTTCCGTTTCTTTTTCTGGCTGTTACATTGAGCACCACGTCTCACTATACCCCTTCGTATAGCATACATTATACGAAGTTATGGCGTGTGTCGTGACTTGCGCACGACCTCGAGCAAAGATGCTCCAAAGGCCATGCGCGGGAGGATGCCGCAACGCAGCGCAATGCGCGCAGTCAGACTGAGCGTCGACTGTGATAGGCACAGACCCCTGGCTGTCTGCTGCCATTCAAATCGCCCGCGCAACTGCCACGTCAGTCGGCATGATGCAATCGCCTTGAGCGGTTGCTCCGTCTCGTCTCGCTTCGCCTTCGCTTCGCTTCGGCCCTCAGAAGGTCGGTTCGTCTTTGCTTTAATACATCTTAAGCTTAAGGCGGACCTCGCATTGGCCCCAAATATCCTTATTTCGCTTTAGTGTAAATAATAGTATTTACTTAACTTTATAGTATGCATAATAAGCCAGGGTTCCCCCATTTCACAATCTCATCGTAGTTACCTTTCATCGTAGTTTAGATATTACTCGGGAGTTCACTTCATATGTGTAGTTCACTTTAAACTTGTAGATCTCTTAGTCCACCGTAGCCTTTTAGTTAATCGTAGTTCATGTCAACAGTTTTATCTAATGATTCTTTACAGGTTTTCTATTGTAATTCTGTCTTATTCTATGTTGTGTTACATGAAGTTCAGTAAGTACTCTTTAGCTTTACACTTAAAGATCACGCTTACGTTCGCATCTCGCATACACGCATAGCGCCTAGTCGGTCAACGGTCAATTACATCTACACGGCATGCAACGTTTCGCATTTCTCGCCCAGTTACATCAGGGTCCAACGCACGCGTCAAGTACACGACGTACTTCTGGGGCCGTAAGGTATGCTTCCCCGAAGGGTTAGGGGACGAAAATCCCTTTAAATTTTCTCTGTCGTCCCAACTGGGATTGTCCTGATAAAGGGCCTACATTTAATATATGTGTGTAGCTTAAAGTAAACATGCATTGAAAATAAAGAAACAGTATCGTTCAAAACAAAAAATTTAAAGGGACTTTCGTCCCCGCAACCATTCGGGGAAGCATACCTTACGGCCCCTGGGTCAGTCAGGGAATAAGGCCCTGTGATTGAGCCCGCAGCAGGCACGGAATCTAGAGCATTCTCGCGCACGCATTCCCTTCCGAGGTGATGTGGGCACCCACTGGAATCCCACGTTTTGCCGGGTCCGGTGGACAGATCACCGATGCACGCGCTTGCACGCGCTCGACCCCGTCCACGGGCACGACAGTGGCTCTACAGTTACGACGTGTTAGGGAGTGACTTTACGGGTGCTTTGCGTTTCGCCGCGCACATTCACTATTTTTTTATTCCCCCCCGATATCTCTGATTTATGATGTTTATCCCGTGTCTCTCGGCGGTAGCATCGCGTGTGCCTCACAAAAAAAAATCGCCTTTGAACCTCCCTGTTTTTTTTATAAATTCCATCATTTCCTTCATAAACTTCACCCTGCCGTTTTATTCAAAGCAAAGTAGACCCAGCCGCCCAATCTCGCCAGTACAAACCGGTGTAAATAGGAAGTAGAGCGTCCGCCGTTCGTTCCTCTTGTGACCAAAAGAACACTTGTTTGGTTATTGATTCGAGACAAAACAAATTGATCATCGGCGTTGTAGTTCATTATTGATCGTACAGTAACCATATGGATGTCCTGAAGTTCATGTCACTATCCCTCCACCTGTATTATCCGTGATATTTATCAGGGATCGAGAAACATGAAATATACCCTCCCCTTCAAAAAGCCAGAAAGTGTCGGGTGCAGACCATACACCACAAGTGACGACGGCCTCCAGAAAATGCAAATGTTTTTGCCAATGAAATGATTAACCTGTTACAGTTGTATTCGATCAGTTGACACTAATTACAACTATCATTTACTAAAAATCAGCTATCACTATGAACCACTACTAACCAGATTTACTTGGAGGCCGTCGTCAGTTGTGGTGTTTGGTCTGCACCCGACACTTTCTCGCTTTTTGAAGGGGAGGGTAATTACTTTCTGTGCTTTAGTAGATTTGGTCCGTATCACTCGGTTGCTCGAGCACAGCATGGTCACCGACTTCGAAATGAACGCGATAAATTGGTCGAAGAG